ACAACCATTTTAATTAATACTTCTCTCCCAGCTTTAGATAAGAACCTACTATTCCAGCTTTGGATTCTTTGAATAACCTTTTCTTTGATATAGCCAAAATTTTCTTTTTTATTTCTCCTAACCATCAAAGGTAGCCCCAAATACTTGCCCCCACCCCTGTCTTCCCCAACAATATTACATAAATAATCTCTATCATCCCAAGCCACATATGCTCTAAAATGCACACTAGATTTATCAAAGTTTATCACCTGACCCGAGACTGATGCATACTGGTCAAGTAACTCTTTGATAATAAAACAATCCTGCTCATTTGCCCTGCAGAAAAAGAAACTATCATCAGCAAATAATAAATGGGAAACTGCCGGCGCCCCACGAGCCACTCGAATTCATTGAAGAACTCCCTCTTCTTCTTTCGTCCGTAGCATGGCGCTTATTCCTTCCGCCACCATAATAAACAGACACGGTGATAGTGGGTCCCCTGGCCTTAATCCCCGAGAAGGAATAATTGGTCCATAAAGCTCCCCATTAATCTGAATATGATAATGGACCGTCTCCACACACTGCATGATTAATTTGGTTCATCGTGGACAAAATCTGAAGCACTTCATAACATGCTATAAAAAACCTCACTCAACTCTGTCGTATGCCTTGCTCATGTCGAGTTTTAGGGCCACATAGCCTTCCTTTCCCTGTGTTTTGCGCTTTAGAAAGTGTTGTATTTCAAAAGCAACTACAATGTTATCAATTATAGATCTACCGAGTATGAAAGCGCTTTGATTTTCAGAAATAATTCCGTGTAATAAGCCTTTGAGCCGATTCGCTAAGATCTTCGCAAATATTTTATAAACATCATTGCATAACACGATCGGCCTCCAATCACCCATAGCCACATGATTATCTTTCTTTGGTATCAGCACGATAGTAGTCTCATTATAATCCTCCGGTACCCTCCCTGTGTTAAACAATCTAACACAAAAATCCACCACAGCTGGTCCCACAACATCCCAAAAGGCCTCAAAAAACCCGGGTTCAAACCGTCTGGTCTTGGAGCCTTATCCGGGTGCATATTGAACGCCGCGGCCCTCACCTCAGTCTCCGTTATGTCACGTAAAAGGATAGTATTCTAGTTGTCACTAATCACTTTTCGGACATTGTCAAAACATGAGAGATCCCGACTCCTTCTTGCGGTAAAGAGCTCCTCAAAATAATTAAAAACTAGATTACTCAGCTCCCCTTGACTTGTCACCCATCTACCCGAATCAGAGTACAAACCCTTCATTAAATTTTTCCGCCTCCTTTGCTTGACTGAGTTATGAAAATATTTAGTATTAATATCTCCCTGTTGTAACCAAAATTCTTTCTCCATCTGTTTCCAGAAAGAATTCTGCTTTTCCAAAAGTTCTAAATAACATACCTTTGCTCTAGCAAATTCGGCCAACCCTGCTGCATCCGTTCGACCTCTGCTACGCTCCATCTGCCTTTTGCAGCCTTCAATACATTGTTGAAACCCCCGACGAAGATGTTTACCCCATGTGCATAACTCGACTCAACAAAATTGTAGCCTTTCGAGAAGAATTTGATCCTCACATGAGCTCCATGCACGTTCTACCACACTCCGACATTCTTTCTCCTTTAGCCAATGATTTTCAAACTTGAATCTGGATCTTCTATGTTTCCCTGCTTTTTGGCTAAACTTCAAAAATAGAGCGAGATGATCACTATTACTTCCCGAAATAGAGGTAGCCCAAGCCTCACCAAAAATATCTAGCCATCCGTCATTCACAAGAATACGATCAAGCTTCTCTTCGACCCAATTGTTCGTGCCTCGCCCTCTCTCCCAAGTGAACTGATATCCGTCGAAAGGGAAATTCACTAAACCGCCCCCCCCCCCCCCATACGGCATTTCGAAATCCTGTAAGCATCCAAGGAGCCTGGGGACATCGTCCTCTCTTCTCGTGTGCATGCAAGATATCATTAAAATCTCCAAGAACCGCCCATGGGATATTGTTCGTCGTGGCCAGATTTTGTAATAGCTCCCATGACTCCTTCCGTCGTTGGCGTTCAGGGAAGCCATAGAACCCTGTCAATCTCCATGGTAGGTTTTGAGACTCCATCGTAATTACGACATCTATTAAGTTATGTGAGGCAACCTTTATATCTACTGTTATCTCATTCTTCCAGAATAGAGCCAACCCTCCACTTCGCCCGTCACATGCCACACAAAACCACTTCTCAAAGCCAATCGATTTACCAACTTGACTGATACGATCACTTCCACATAGGGTTTCCATATGGAAAATTATCGACGGATGGTATGTCGACGTAATATCTTGGAGAACCTGGACTGTGGCAAGATTCCGCAAGCCCCGACAATTCCAGCTGACGCAACCCATTCCAGAACGAAATACAAAACTCTCTTGACCAGGTTGAAAACCGATGAGGACGAAAACCTTCCCCACACACGAGGGAGACAAAGAACTCCGGAAGAAAACTTCGGGACAGAATTCTAACAAACTGACCTGATGACGTCGAGTCACGTACTAAATCCGCCATCACAAAATCTGCTTAGAACTTCCGCCGCCGTAGGGTTTCATTATGGTCGCCGTAGGTTTTCTATCCCGAATGCTAAAATGACAATTCTGCAATGGCCACCAAAAAACAGGTGGAGGAGCAGCCGCGATCAGATCTGGAAAATCATCAGTTGAAGAACTCGTCGGGAATGAATGATTCTCAATTTAATCAAATTGAGTTAAACATTGATAACTCATATGTGTATTTTTTGGAAAATTAAATTATGTAAACATATTACTAACGAACTAGAACCTCTTGTTTCGCCAATTCCAAAATTTTGGAGAACCTTACTGGACTAGTGAGCCTCCCATTCTAAACCGGATGTATTATGCGGTTCTGATAAGGGTGGACCCAGTCTTGGTCCGGTCCCAGACCAGTCGGTCCCAGACCATGCTAGGAGAAGCCCGGGTTTGACCCGTTTAAATCCGGGTCTGTGCCGATTCCGATCCGGTTATATTTATTTTTTCGTTTTCAAGGAAAAAATGGTCGGGTCGGGACTGGAACCGGGCCCAAAACCGCCCGGCTAGTCCTCAAAATTCAAACTCGTGACCGGCCCTCCGGTTACCCAGTCGGGTACCCGGTCTTGAACCGGGACCGGAAAAACGGATCCAATCCGGTCCCAGATAGTGCCGGACCCGGTCTCGGACCGAGTCCACTCCTAGGTTGTGATTTTGTTTTGGTTCCGGTTAACCGAAAATGTAGACGGGTTTAGCTAGACACAACGAATACAAAGTACAAGCTATTACCGGTAAATCAATAATAATATATATATGTTGCATAAATAATTATTTCATACTTCAAATATTTAAATACATTTAATTATTTATAGACTCGAGATTAGAATGACTCCCATTGGCGAAGGAGGTTCAATGACTATGTAAAAGCATGACCTTCATTTGTTTTTAGTGTCACGGGTTTGCAACTTTGTTTTTGTTTTTGTGAAGCCTTCTCTTATATGTTATGCAATCATTTAGTATGGATGACTCCATTCTTGGTGGAATCTTCACAGTGGCGGAATCAGGACTTGTGACTCGCAGGGGCACAATAAAAAAGAAATGATATACTAGTCTACAAAAAAATCATATGCATCACGAGTATAGCAATAAACAAAACTATAAAATTTAAATAAAACCACTGTTTTGGAATGATCTGTTGCACCCATTAAAATCACTTTGTGGAAATTTAAAGTCACGCGGTTGGCAAGAACCTTTTCTCAAATAACGTCTCCTCAACTCATCTCTAATATTAACATCATAAGTCTCAATCGGCATAACTTTTCTGTCCAGCACTTTTCTGTCCGAACGCCGTCTGAACACCGGCGTTTGGGGCGGTTCCCGGCGGAATATTTTGATGAAATTTTTTGAGCACGTTCCTCATCAAGTCTAGTTTATCCATACCAAACTTCAGATCAAAATTCGATCGGGAAGGCAGACAAATAATTCGTTGAAGTTAACTGCGCCAAATTATACATAGAAAAACGCAGTTAATTTCAACAAATTATTTGACTGCCTTCACGGTTGAATTTTGACCTGAAATTTGGTATGAATAAACTAGACTTGATGAGGAACATGCTCAAAAAATTTCATCAAAATATTCCACCTGGAACCGCCCCAAACGACGGTATTCGGACGGCGTTCGGACCGGGAGGTGCTGGACCTGAGAATTTCCAATATATATATATATATATATATATATATATATATATATATATATATAAATCACCGCAGGGGCACGTGCATCCCCTAGCCCTAGGGTGGGTCCGCCCCTGAATCTTCATCATTGGTCTCCATCGATCTACTATCTCAAATCAGGAGTACGTGTAGATAACTCCTAGATGTTTTCTATGTATTGTTCCAAAAAGTGGAATCTCCCACCCCAGGAGCCCTCCACCTCGACCCGACAGGATGGTGGAAAGGTTAGTCACGGTGATTCAATCAGCAGAATGACAGTAGGCCCATACACCCGTGCGCACCAGAGGCCCAACCTTATTTCAGGTTCTGTGACCTCCACCCGGTCGCTGCGGGGATTCGAACCTTGGTCCATTATTCCAAATCTCCGACCACTCGACCAACTGAGCTACCCGTGAAGCTGTTTGGATTTCATCATGGATATCTGAAGGATCTTTTTTTACTGAATGTACGGTTAAACCTTTTTTACTGAACCCGGACATTCTTCAATTTCTTTTACCCTTTTATCGTTCCCAATCTCCTATGGATCTTATGAGTACTACATTTTCCCGTTGACCTTATTGCCTCAATTAAAGTTGTAGAGAAAATGCAAAAATTAACTTTGTTTTCAGCAGCAGAGTCGAAATCAAACTCTCAGAGTGGGTTTTGACTAATATGTTGTTGGGCAGGGTTGCTAAGTAAAAACTACTCGCTCTGTCCCCAAATTAAGTTCTCATTTTCTTTTTCGAGATGACTCAAACAAGTTCACACTTCCTTATTTGGAAAATAAATTTACACCAAAACAGTGCAAAACAATATCAAACAGTGTCAAATAATGTCAACATGAACTTTGTACTGCTCTCACCTTTGTGTGCTTCTTTGACTAAACTCATCATACATTGATTGAACTCAATTGTTCTATAATGTAAACAAAGAACATTAAAAATAAAGTCGTTGACTGAGGGAATGAAATGAAATTGACACAACTACAACCGTTCATATGATAGAAACTTGGCACCTTCATCGTCCATTGTTAATTCATATTCACTTCGCATCTCCATATTCTTCCCCCACAAAAAAAGATACAGTCCTAATGTGATCAGGGACATGCCAATTAAACTGCAATTATTTACGTACATTTAACACCAAATCAAAGTTCAAATAATGTAAATCATATCGTATGTTTAACAACGACAACATTAAACTTCATACTTCCTCCGTTCTTAAATAAATGCAACGGTCAACATTTCACACTTGCCGAGACACAACTTTGACCATTAATATAAATGATTTTGTATTAGTAAAAAAATTAAAAAAATTAGATTATGAAAATTTACAATGAGACAAGTTTAACAATATTTTTTCATAAAATAATATTATTACATTAATAAATAAAACGTAGTCAAAGTAGAACATGTGAATAGTGTAAAAGTCAAAGTGTTGCATTTATTTAAGAACGAAGGTATTATATAACAATAATATAATATTGGCTAAGAGACTTAATTAACCTTCCAATAGAGATTCCTGCGCCAAAGAAAATGAGTTCTACGACGGCTACCAAAGTTAAGCATAATGGGTTGAACATTGATGGATATGTCGGACCTCTTTTTCTGATTGCCCAAGAGAGTAAGCAAAATGTAGCACCAGTTGCCAATGCACCCTACAAAATTTATTTTTGGGAAAATGTAGAAATTATAGTATAATAACTTTTTTAATAATGTCGTAATTTACATTTTTTGCATTTTGGGAATTATTTTTATATTCTACATCGTTCTAAAGGTTTTTACATTTTAACTTTATATTCATTTATATTTTCATTTTGTTATGTGATATTTTTAATTTTTATTATTTTATTTTAACATTTTTATATTATTCACATTTTTTGACATTTTTATTATTTTATATATTTATATTTCCATTTTTTAAAAATTTAAATGATTTTTTTACAAAATTTGTCGATTTTATTAAATATCGAAAACAACCTTCCATAGCATGTCAAGGTGACTTGATTCAATAATTGATAATGTTTTCACATTAAACATGTTATATGATACATTCTTTTAGTATAGAGACTCAAGTGATGGGTTTGAAACAGAAAAAGAGACTATCGAAACTTTTCCCTTCATTTTCCTTTGAATATAAGGAAATCTTAAACTTTCATACTATAACAAATAATAACAATTCAAAGCATATTTCACAAGTTTCCTTTCATAATCTTACATAGTTATCATTACTAAAAAATACGGGATTGACACGGAGTTTGGCACGGACTTACCGATTTTTCGTGCCAAATAGCTCGTGCCAAGGTGTTTTTGGTATGGATTTGGCATATCCTTGCCAAAATCCCTGTCAAAATCCTTGCCAATCACGTGTTTTTTTTGTAGTGTATAAATGAATTACACATCCATTAAACTAAAGGAAAAACAAAATGTTCTTGTATGTGGGAGTGCAAAATATGTTACAAGTTTGGAGCAACTGTTGCAATATTAAAAAAAGCATATATATGCTTTATACATATTAATATAATCTCAAAGAATTTTACCATTACATGTTAAAATATGTCAAACTCAAAAGTTACTAGTATTATGTTTCGTTTTATAAGAAGAATGATATACTTACAGAGTAGAATATAGTAACTAACTGTAAATTCCATCCGAGTGCCCATAATGTCTTTCTACTATCAATGCATAAGCCTATTACCAGGCTTTGGAATGCGGCGGTTATGCATACTAGCAAGGTCGCAGAATACATGTATGGATATATTTTAGACAGCTTGGCCTGCTATAAATCAAAGTTAAAGTATTGATTTCAACAATAATCAGGGGCGGAGCCAAGAGGGGGTCGGGGTGGTCAACCGATCCCACTGAAAGTTCGAGAGTGTAGAGGTCTGAATTATCTTCGATTTGATATATTATGGCCTCCGTAACTCATTACGATCAAAAAAATATGATTTCTATAGATTATCTAAACGTAAAATCAGTAAAATTTGATGCATACTATAGATATTTTCCCAATTTTAAAAATAAGGTATAACTCACTCAGAAACAGAGCAAATACAATCTATCTTATTGTTACGAGTGCCTATTTATCTAAGCTGCATATGAAATATTCAACTCGGATATTGTTTAAAAACGATCTATCATTTTAGACCCCCTAAGCCATTTTTCCGGCTCCGCCGCTGACAATAATAGTCATGCTCACGGTAGTATAAAAAAAATTGAGGGATGGCTAACAATCACCTGTGCCATGAACCATGAACCATATCCTAAACAACTAAGCACTAGAAATATGGTTCCACGTGCCCAATCTGGCTTCATATCAGTTGCAGTGAATAGATTCTTGGAGTTGGGGTTTAATAGATAGAATGTTTTTCCTTTGAACAATGCACTGGTTAATGCTCCCATAAGGCAAACCATTGTTCCTATGAGCATAATTTTTCCTTCTTTTGCATTCAGGCGAAGCTTTTCTACACTTTATTAAGAGACGCTAGTCGTATTAGTATATAGGGAAGAGGATCATACAAGTCCTAGAACTTACATAAAAAGGTCAAATAAGGTCTTATATAGGAGGTTCTGTCCGATCGTCGTCATTTGGGGTGGCTTCCGGTAGAATTTTTTGATGACATTTTTTGACCATCCTATTAATTAAGTCTAGTTCACTCATACCAAATTTCAGCTAAAATTCAATCGGGAAGGCATTCAAATTAATTCTTGAAGATAACTGCGCGGTTATCTTCAAGAATTAATTTTCATGCCTTCCCGATTGAAGTTTTAGCTGAAATTTCCGTAAGAGTAAACTAGACTTATGAAATAAGATGCTCAAAAAATTTCATCAAAAAATTCCACCAGAAACTGCCCCAAATGGCGACAGCCGGACAGAGCCTCTTATATAAGACCTTAGTTGACCTTTTTATGTAAATTTGAGGACCTATTTGATCATTTTCCCTAGTATATACATATATTTGATTGTATGTGCCATGGAGATATATATAAATTTAAAGAAATATATACACTTTCGTACCCTGAAGCTATTGAACAGGCAAATGTAACTATAGGAATCAAATTGACAAAGTTTGTAGCATATGTAGCTGTTGTATCCCGAAGCCCGTAGTAAAAAAATCCCATAGCTATGATTACCCTGCACAAAAGAAGTCAACAACCGGCTTTTCACTAAATCACAAGATTTTTATTAATTTATTTTTGCATGAAACTGTAGTAATGTTAGAGAACCTACCTATTGATGCTAATTAAAATTATGAACGAGTTGACATTAGTTTATGAGTAAAAAAGAACTGGAAAGCTTGAAAAGCATTTAACTCAAAGTGTTTTAATCCTTTTTATAGATCAAACATGCATCTCATGAAATAAATATTTCTTATAAACACCACATAAATTTCATCACACACAGCGCACACACACATGCGTATATATGTGTTTGAAACCATTTCTTTGTGTATGTGTGTGCTGGACGTCTCTATGTATGTGTAACGAGTGGTTCTGCTGAAAAAATAAAAAAAAAGTACTCCCTTTGTCCCGTTGGAATGTTCCCGGTTTGACCTACACACATATTAAGGAAATAAACTTACCAAGGGGTAAATTTTACTGTTTTGACACTGTTTCGACACTGTTTGGCACTGTTTCGACACTGTTTGACATTGTTTTGCACTGTTTGACCCTGTTTTGATGTAGGATAACTTTCCATTTAGGGAAATGGGAATTTTCCAACGGGACATCCAAAAAAGGAAAGCGGGAACATTCCAACGGGACGGAGGGAGTACTAAAAGTTATAGGTAGGTTTTGTTTTAGAAGTTAAGTTTACTATATATTACTCCCCGTCCCTTAAAACTTTGTCAAGTTTGATCAGCATGAGGATTAATAAAGTAAAAATTGTATGGTTGATGTTTGTGCAGAGGAGAGAGAATTAACTGGAATCACAAATTCTTTACTTAAAAGCAAAAGTGACAAAGTTAGTGGGACATCCAAAAAAGGAAAGTTGACAAAGTTTTAAGGGATAGAGGGAGTAGTTTGTAAACTTAAACATACGATTATAGTTATATCTGAAATTCAAATAAAAATAACTCATTAGAAGGTTTATGTTATTTTTTAGAAGATGATTTTTATTAAGTATAATTGTTACTCCTCACAAATTCATTTTAATATATATGTTCCATGAGATATTTTTTACACTCACAATATATAGACACACATAGAGTGTATGTGAGACATCTAAAGATCATATACATCTTTGAAACTCAATTTAAGAAAATTTAATTCGGCTCAATGTTAAAACTAGTGCTTAAGCAATACATGAACACAAATTTAAATAGTATGCGAAGTACTTACCCAGAAAATGATACGAGGAAAACCCACATATAAACATGGAGGTTCACTTTCTTCAGGCACTCCCTGACATACATTATATAGATAATAACAAGCATTATTTTTTTTAATATAAAACCATTTATTTTTACTTTTGGGATATAGTAAACTAATTAAACACGCTAGAAGCTATTTGGTGAAACAGTCATATAATTGAGAACAAAGTATATGTTTAAAATGTTACATTGACAAATCGAGTCTAATAATTTAGTATTGTATGTATGTAATACATATTACTATTTTGACAAGTGTTCTATATACTTTATTCCAAATCTAGGATTAAAAAAGATGACAAAGTTTGAAATGATCTCACATACATTTTGTTCCGAAAAGGTTTGTCAAATTGACTTTTCATGGTCAATGACAATCAACTTTGACCAACGATATATTTTAATACGAAATTTTTAGAATATGAAAATTATATCAGAATATTCCTTATTGAAAATATTTTCATAAAAGTATAAAATTTATAAATTATATACAAATATAATAACTAAAATCATTGCTCAAAGTTTGTCATCATTGACCAAGAAAAGTCAATTTGGCAAACTTTCTGGGATGAAATAAACAAACTTGTAGCTCACCTTTCTCGGAAATATGCAAAAGGAAGGATGCATAAAGTTGCAATGACATGACGGTACGTCATGAGAGCAAAAACAAATATTCCTTGTCCGAGAATCACCCTTGACAAAAGCTGTAAAATGGCAGCAATAACTTGCACCGTTATCATCCCAATCGCCAAAAATAGTGCATCTGCCATTATAATGGCCTCCTAGAGAGATGTAGTTTGATATTGACACAATAAACACAAAAAGATACTTGAAATCAAACAATATAATGGCATATACTAAATAAAAGTAACTCTATCTATAGAAAGAATTAATGACTACACTATTATTTAATACTAATTACTAATTATAGCCACAATAAATATAGTTTAGCTTTAAATAATATTATTTGTAGTACATGATAGATGTGATGAAATTTCTAAAATTGTATTATGATGCGAAACAAAGGTGTTATTATTTTGTGGTTCGGTCAAGGTGTACAGTACCTCTATTAATTTCTCAGTTTCTTTAGTACTAAAAGAATGAGGACTTGTGTGGTCATGTTTAGCTTTACTCAACCTCTTTGGTGGTTAGCGATTCATGATGATCCTTTAGAGGTGATCGTCATTTTATCTCATCATAGGACATTTGGTGTGTTTTGAGGATCGATGGCCATTTTGGCAGTTCTTTTAATATGAATATAATGTATTTACCATTAAAATGATGTTATCAATGGCAAATTCAATAATTAAAATGAGAGAGTTCCTCTAGTGTTAAAGGAGTGTGCTTTTCTCGTCGTTGTTAGTTACTCCTTCCATCCCTAAAAGAACTTCCAACTTTCCCTTTTCGTTTGTCCCAAAAAAAACTTCACTTTTCCTTTTGGCAAAGAATTTGTGGTTCACAACATTTCTCTCATCTACATAACTCTCCACCACACAATTCTCACTTTCTTAATCAGTGTGCCACTTTATTTTGGAAGAACATTTAGGGACGGAGGTAGTACATGTTTATCTAACAAACATGAATCATGGTGATTTCCTTATATCAAGGATATATGTAAGAGAATGACAAGTGATAAAAAAAAATAGACATAGATGTTCAAAGAAGATGCAACTGATGAAATAGTATCAACTTCCATGCAATACAAAGTAGTCAAAACATTCATCTACTCTCTCATGGTGATTGGTGATGATGGTTTTCCCCCTCTTAAACTAATAAGTTTTATTAGATATAAGAAAAGTATATAAGGTAAAAAATCTTGTTTATAACCCTATGTAGTATGTACCATACAAGAAGCGTTAACAAAAAAGTAGACTTGAAACATTTTACTGAGATCACATATTCACATAGTGACATAACACTAGATCATAGAAGATGACATTCACAAGCTTATAAAAGTAGCAATGACTCCAGAGAGTTCGGAAAGACATAAATTGCTCATGTGAGTCTTCTTCACTGCCTATACACAACTCATAACTCTAGAATAGTTATGTTTGGTGCACAGGTTTTTGTTAGGAATACAATTTATTGTGTCAATTTGCATAATGTATCTTTGTATTTGTGCATAACTAATTAAGATTAAATAATCCAAAAACAAAAGTTTGGTGAATTGCATGTGATACCGACAAAATTTACAGTGTGTATAAAACTCATGTACAAATGACATTTTCCATTCTAGAAAGTACAGAGTATAAAAATTCTTTTACAATAGAGTTTCTTCAAATTCTTTCCAAGATATTCCAATTTTTGAAACCCGGTGTTGAAAAACTTAATGTCATCAGTAACTAACGCTAGAAACTTCATTGAGAAAATCATCAAAAAGTATTCAAAAACTAACGTGACTTTGGGATGCATAGCTTGAAAATTAAACAAGAAACATAGCAAACTTTGTAGTAGTCTAAGATTGTATACTATTTGAAGAGGTGCTCTAAATTATATCGTAATGTAAAGTTGTACTTCATTTCAATTATAGGAGAGGTGCTCTAAATTATACGAAGTATATGTGGAGTAAATATAAATATATGGAGCAAGCCAATGTGGTCAATACAGAGCACGGAGACATGATAAATATTTATCTATCTAAAAATTTGAAAGATTTACTACCTTTAACTTTCCCAACACAGTTGTTATACCGTGCGAGCAACCATTGTGAGCATCGTACTCCAACAACTAAAACATGTGTGAACAGTAACACGCGTGAACAATAACTTTTTTAAGTGGTATGGTGATATAACCCGCATTTAAAGAAATGTAACTCGTGCCGATGAGAGATTTAACTGAAGGCAAGTCAAATGTAAATTGTCTAATATGGAGTATAAGAAATAAAGTATTGATTTCAATCTAAACAATGAAATATGAGTCTAATTGTTTAATTACTTTACGCAAATAATGAACAAGTTTTGTTTTTAATATCAGGGATATAAAAAGCGATTTAAAAAATCATTTTTTTGTTTCAATATTGGGAGTTTATTTTGTGTTTAACTCTTATTATCACAAATGTAACTCGCTTTGATGGAAAATATAACTTGTTGAGACTAGTCCAAATGTAACTCGTTGATAAGAAAATGTAACTCACACATAAGAAGATGTAACTTCATATGTTATCACATGTAACACTAGGAATCAAAACAAACAAACTCAGAGCCCGTTTGGTAACATTAAAATTGGCTAAATTGGCTGATTCTGCTGAAATTTATAAAGTTCTGGCTGAAGTGGCTGATTCTGCTGATTCATGAAAAAAAAATTAAAATATTTGTTATTAATAAATTAAATAAAAACTTATATGAAAAATAGTTAAAATGATCCTCTACAGTAACTTCAGCCAATAAAGCCAGAAAAGTAACTCCAACCTTACATTTTCTGCTTATTATAAAATTCATCGCTTGAAATCAAAAGTTACGTGTTTGGTGAAAAAGCTGACTGATAAGTCTGATAAGCCGAAAAAGTGAGTCACCAAACGGGCTCTCAATGTCTTAAAAATCCTCTAAAAACATATACTCCCTCTGTCTCGGTCATTTCTTCCAACTTTCCTTTTTGGACCGTCCCAATTAATTCTTCCAACTTCCACTTTTGGAAAAAATATGTGGTTCACATTCATTCACTTTTTTCTTACACAACTACAACCATACATTTTCACTTTATTCCCACTACCTAAATTTGTGATACCGGTCAAAACCGGAAGAAATGACCGGGACGGAGGGAGTATAAGAGATAAAAAATTATAGAAAAAAGTGTATGAATATAAAATATATTACTAAAAAGAGTATGAATACAAAAAATATTACGGAGAGAAAAATAGTGTATGAATATGAAATGCAATATACTTATTTTATTTAGATTAATAAAAAATTGTTATGAATTGATAAAGAAAAAAATAGATTGAGTTTTAATTTAAGTTGAATGTAAAGAAAAGCAAAATTGCAATTACATTATTAGTACTTTGATGGAGAAGGAGAAAGAGAATTGAAGAAAAGAAAAATAAAAAAGAAATCAAAGAAAATGAAAAAGTGATGGGCAATCAGCGAGCCAATTTTGTATTAAAAATTAAACTATCTAAACTAATTCCAATAAAATCTAATATGTTTAAATATATAACACTAGCACAAAAAGTGTTTATTGCAGCATCTATTTTGTAGCATCACATAAATTGCTACAATATAGTATCTATTGTAACATTATTGTACCAAAAAATGTTACAACAAGATGATAAAAATGCTACAATACATCTATTGTAACACCAGTCGGATGCAGCATGCTAAAAATGCCGCATTTGATATATTGCGACTTTTTTTACACCTATTGCAACATTTTGCGTATGCTACAAAAGCTATATTTTGTTGTAGTGTAACTTCTTCATAAGTCCAAAAACCATTGTCGAAATCAAAATGCAAAAAAACATCCAAATTGTCTAAATTAACTTCAAACAAAACATCATAAGTTTGCATTACAATAAAATTTATAAAATCACATCACTCTTGCAGTCTTGCTTTTATAAGCAACTGATCCATCTCCAACTGCTTTTCTTAATAATTGGTCCATCTCCATATCAGTTTCCAGCAAGTTGTGGACCTAAACCTTCTCCAATGATCCCATCATCTTGTACATAGTAAATTAACCAATTTAAAATAATAAATGAAAATTAATAATATTTTTGGTAGATAGTATAGTTCAAATTAATGTGGGAATGGAGAATTGGACATCTAAACATAGAATTTTTTATAGATGTCTTAGTAAATTAATAATATCTATATGCAGAGAGCAAGTACAAAATGGTGGGCAAAGACATAATGTGGGAATGCAAAATCGACCATCTAGATATACAAGATGGATTACAAATGGACAGTTTCATTCATGAACTAACACATTAATAATTTATAAAATAAGAAACAATAGCTGGGAGGGAAAAACTCATTCAATGGACAGTTTCATGCATGAACTAACACATTACAAATGGACAGTTTCTGGGAGGGAAAAACTCAATTAAAAGAAGAGCTAAGAGAAGAAATTCATACTCAGGTTGTGAATCTAAACCATCTGCCGATCCAATGCTCCCGTCATCTATACATAGTAAATTAACCAATTTAAATCCAACACTTGCATAATCAGAAAGAATAAAATCAAAATAAGATATTAAATTAAATTACCATCCTCATGAACTTCATAGCCCTTTAACCAGTTACGAGTGCACAACAATGCTTGGACACGTACAGGAAGAATACAACTTTTGTACTTAGTCAAAACACGAGAACCAATGCTAAAAGCCGACTTTGATGCCACTGTCGTGATAGGAATACTAAGCACATCACATGCCATCAATGCTAAGTCACCATATCGACTTTTACGATCATTCCAATATTATTGCAAAACATCCATATCATAAAAGTATTTCATCTCAGACCTCCCTTCTTCCAAGTACATATTCAAAGATGATTTGCCATTATCAACTATATTCTGGCTCTCAAATGCAAGAATTTTCTGAGCCATTTCACAAAAGAAGAAATTATTATAAAAGTATAAAACTATAACACTATCAATAAAATAATAAAAATAATATTAGAACTTACATTGAAAATAGAAAAGCCTTTGTCTTGTTGTGTTGAGACAACCAACACTATTTGTATATTACAAATAAAATCTAAATAAAGTAGTTTTTTTGAATCATAGCTAAATAAAGTAGTTGAAAACTAAAGAATTCATAAGAGACTACAAACACTATTTGTATATCGAGAAGTTATGTCTAAAAAATAACAATTGAGCTTTAATTTTGTACCTCTTTCAATTCTTTCTCTAAATAACTGAATTATTGTAAAAAGAAGTTTAAATAGTATAGCTAAAAAGCTACAAAATGGAAAAAAGTTTAAAAGTGAATCCTAAGGTTGACTACTTAACTAAATTTGTTATTACTAATTAACTTTATACTACTGAAAATAAATAGTTCATTCATGTATACTACTGAAAATGGATACTATATCATCTATTATTGACAAAAAAAAATCCTAAGGAAGCTCGCTGCTATATTAGTGCACACTTGTGCAGTACATTGTTTGTTTATTTCTAGAATTCCAGTTATAAGTTCAATAAATCTAGTTTATTCTAAATACTTGAATTATATGGAGTTTTGAACTTTTGATTTTAGTTCTATTAAAACTTTATTTAGGACGAAATTTCAACCTTCAAGACAAGCTGAACAAGAAAATTTACGCTGTAAATGGTACGAAACTTGAAGTAAGAAATACTCCATTATTCCTGTAAGGAAATCGTGCTCTAACTTTTTTTGTTAAGAGGCCATGTTCTCATTCCATAATCCAGTAATACTTCTTTTATGAGTTAAAGGGTCTTACATCAATACACAAGATTTTCAAGGAAAAGTCTTAGTAGACTTTTTCAACTACAACTAACAACAAACCCGACAACAAATGACAGTGAACACAAATTTCTTACAAATTTTAAATACTACTCTGTAATTTAATTATTTAAATATACATACCTGTGATGGGAAGATAGAATGGTGCTCAATATCTACCTAAAAGAATTCCGAATAGAAGAGTGATAATCAAAGACTCAAAGTGGAGATAATCAAAGATGGAACTAGAGAAGTAGAGAAAGTAAAATGAAAGTGTAGATGATAATTAATATAAAGAATTACCTTGTGATTTTTGGCTTTTGGGATATCCATGTCTCCCATAGTCCCAGACAAATGATACGAAGGTATAGAGACTAGAAGAGAGACTCTTCATGTCTTCTATGCACAAAACTTCAATGCCCACTTCAATATTCAAGAGTCCAGCTTTCCAGACTCTTCATCTTCTGTGACCTGAGCGGTCAATTGATACGGAGACGGGAGACACGGAGTATACTACATTAATTAATAAATAATTTGCTCCAGTCCGCGGGTCGACCCGTAACCCGTACGGGCTGGCCCGCTAAAACCCGCAACCCGTTAGGGTCAGCACGCAAAACTTGCGAAATAAATAGGTCCAAATATTATAACCCTAACCCGTCAGTAAACGGGTTTAAATGGGTCAGCCCGTGTGTTTTGGCCCGTTTTGACAGCTCTACAAATATGTGTATTATAGATTAAAACAATAATCATTCTGATAATGATAAAAATAATACTAGCTATGTTTTTCTAAAAAAATCAATATCATGTTTTTCTATATATATTTGTATTTTCTAAATTCGACTTGAAATCTGGATTTTGGCAAATTCAAATCGATCCCAAGGATAGATAAAAAAACCGCATTTGTTGTATCTTTTGGTCAATACGAATGGACGGTAATGTCATTTGGGTAAAAAAATGCTCCTTCAGAATTTCAAAGAATCATGAATGACATCTTTAATCCATTCCCAAAATGTTGTATTTTTTATATCAATGATATTTTAATTTTTTCTCAATCAATTGAATAACATTTCAAACACATCAAGACACTTTTTATTGTGGCTACGAAAAATGGATTGGTTGTTTCAAAATCTAAAATATCTCCTTTTCAAACCAAAATTCGTTTTCTAGGACATTGTATTCCTGAGGGAATGATCACCTCTATCGAAAGGTCACTTAAATTCACGAACAAATTTCCCGACAAAATTCTTGATAAAACACAATTGCAAAGATTTTTGGGAAGCTTAAATTACGTATTAGATTTCTGTCCAAACATTAATAGAATAGCAAAACCCATGCATGATAGACTAAAGAAAACACATTTTGCTTGGACAGAAGAACATACAAGGGTAGTCCAACTAATCAATAAACAAGTAATAAAAATTCATTGTCTACATTTGGCTGACCCATCGGCCCAAAAGGTCGTTGAGATAGATGCATCCGATATAGGCTATGGAGGTATTCTGAAACAAAATACAGATGGAAAAGAATACATTGTTCAATTTACATCTGCGCATTGGAATGATTGTCAAAAGAACTATTCTACCATTAAAAAAAGAAATTCTTTCGATAGTCATGTGCATTACAAAAATTCAAAGTGACTTACTTAATCAGAAAATTTTACTCCGCATTATATTGATGGTATATCTGCTAAAGAAGTTTTACAAAAAGATGTACAAAACATTGCATCCAAACCAATTTTTGCTAGGTGGCAAGCAATCCTGGATATTTTTTATTTTGATAATGAATTTATTAAAGGAGATCAAAACTCAATTCCAGACTTTCTAACCAAAGAGTTTCTCCAAAACAGGACTTGAATGATGCCAAGAAAAACTAGAAGCAAAGATGTCCAAAAAGACAATGATGAAGAAACCTCAAAACCCATGTGTTTTGCAAAACCAATCAAATCATGGGCACAAGCCGTGCAAGAAGATGATGGAACCCAAAGCCCAATACAAGATTGGCTAGCCAACCATCAAGTGACAAAACCACAAAACATTGAGGCACTAGAGACTTCAATAGCTGAAGAAAAACTTAGGCTGGAAAAGATTATGGAATTACAAAAACTCCAACAAGTGATTGAATGCATTTCCAAAGGGCTGACGCTTTTTCAAAATACAAGGAAGGGAGAGTCTTCATCTTCCAAAACACCTTCCAATAAAATTATTTCAAAACTTTCACCGGAGGACTCACCTCGCAAGATCACCTCAAAACCTCCACAAGAGGATTTTACAAAAATCGTTTTAACAAAAAAGATTACCTTGACAAACTTTAAACCACAATCTGAGTATTTTATCAAAACTGATTTTCAAAGTGTTTGGACAATAGAGGATCACTTTTACAATCAGAAACCTCAATTGGCAATTTCAAAAATCTTCGTAGAAGGCTGGTTTTTTAAACCATGGGATATGTCCAAACCCCAGCCTTATTACAGATCCATCATTGAAATAACAGGTTCTCTAACCTTTTAAGACAACCCCAAAGATGGCCCAGTGGCCTAATCCACTGCAAAATCCATGAAATCATCCCATTTTCAGACTGGGAAACAAACCTCTACAGACTACACACCAAAACATTTCTCACTCAACTTCAAAACCACAATTAACCATTGTAGGACCTTCACGTACTGAGACTACCAACGGGTTTGGTACAATGCCCTCCTGGTACAAAATCAAAGATTTGGCCATACTTGGCTATTTTACTTCCAACTTACCATGGACCACACAAAAATTCCTTATTGATTTTCCCATTGGTGGAAACTATATGGCTCCATCCTAGAGATCCTAAACCCAGAAGACGATGAAAGCTTTAAACTCTATAAATCTCACTACAAACCCACAGACCGAGAACACATTTTTCATCCTCTGATGCTTTTTTACAAAGTTCTTTTTACCTTGGGTACTAGCATGGTATTTTGAATATCAACAAAAGGAGACCCAAACAATTTTAATTAAATGATTCAATATGAGATGGTGGACAAAATTCTCTGTTCCATCAAGTATCCAGACAAAAGTCGTTTCTACATGACTCCAACAACAGGGTTTGCAAAAGATGGCTCCCACATCAACCCAATTCCTGCCAAAAAAATCTTTTGCGCAAACACAATTAGCTGTTGCAAAGGATGAAGATCAGTACTTCGAGATAATGACCCAACTTCTCAAGAGCAAGGCCCAATCATCCTCAGCAAGTACATCAAACTCTTCAGAACTTGACATAAATTTGGGGGATGAAGATGATCATTTCAAATAAGCATGGATTTGGTCCAATTATTTTGGACCTATAACAAAGGAAAAACCATTAATCCAATTTTATTCTTTTTGTAATTCAAAAGAAAAAGAAAAATAAAAAACGAAAAAAAAAATCAAAAGAAAAAGATAACCAAATTATTCCTTGGTAGCTGACAACACCATATTGGTTGAAATGGGAGGGATCTCCCATCCACTAAATAGCTTCAATAAAAAGTGGGAAGATCTTACATCCACTTAATACACTCAACAAGAAGTGAGAAGGTCAGGGGCTGAGTCAAGGCACTGGGCCAGACTGGACCGGTACAAAGAATATTATTCGAAAAACATTTACACGAAATTTTTTACACTAAAAATATTGACATTTTTTAAATTTGGGGTGGGTCAGGGCTTAGCCTGGGCACCCCTAGCTCCCCCGTGAAGAAGGTCTCACATCCACTCAAAGGCTCAAAGCTCAACAAAGAAGTGGGATGCAACCGGCAAGCAATCCAATAGCTTTATCACTCAAAGTTGTTTTAGAATTTTTTATATTTATATCTTTATTATTACTAGAAATTCTTAATACTAACTACTTGTCTAAATAACCAAAGTAAGAAGTCATTACCAAAGTAATTAGCTAACAGTAACTAATTACTAACTCTCAACACTCTTGATCTCTTATAATGACACTTTCTTTTGGATGAAAAGTCGTTGCGCAATCAACTATTCAAATTAGTATTACTTCCTTTTTCACTTTTTGTTCAATGCTTGAAATGTGCATCTTGTTTTTATTTCTTCTCTTCCTTTTGTTTCTCCTCTTCAAACACACTAGGAACTATGGTACTATCAACAATTTGGGACAAACTAATAACCATCTCTCTTCACTTCCTGCTCAACTCATTTTTCATTTGGCACAAATAATGGATGTATAATTGTAAGTATAATATTATTGGAGTTATTTCTGAAAAGATAAAATATGCAATGAAGTAGGAATAAACTTATCAGTTTAAGATATTCTGAACTGGAAATTTCATTTTCAGACATTGGTCATTGGTGAATGGTGCTGAACAAAAAGGAGCTAGTAACAATTTTATCTTTTGAATCACTTCTGGGCTCTTGCAAACGTTTCAAGAGATTTCATCATATACCCAAACAGTGCCTGAATAGAGCCTTAGAAAGTAAGAACACATTAATAACTGTAATAACATTAAATTTAAAAACAAAATTCCTGGGCCAAAAGATCCAAGCTAAGTACGAGACTAAGAGCTAATTGTTGAAAATCAAAGCTAATTGCCTAATTTCCCCCACTACGCTATTTATCTTTGCAAAAATTGGGTGGAATATTGTTCCTATATATACAATGCTTGATAATAATTGGAAATTGGAAACGAAAATCATCGGAAAAGCATCTTCAGCTCTTCGAGTCTCGCCGACCGGACTTCTTCATCGGTCAGTGCTCCGGCGATCATCCTTTGCTTTCTAGCTTGTACTTGCTGCATCCTTTCTTCCACCGTGTCCTGAGCAGAAGGATTTCAAAGTTGTAGATATTTTTTAGCAACTGTGCTAGTGATTAATCCAGTACCAGCATGATTGATTAATATTTGGTGTAAGAGATTTACTACAGAATACTTGCAAGGAGATGAGCCTGATGAGGTGCGTTTTGGCCAAAACAAAATATGTTCTGTTTGATTTGAAAATTGAAATGCTTTTTAAGAAAGAATTTATTGAGAAAATGAAATTAACTGCTTAGAACTTGTTATGAGTGGCAGGAAGTATTTTAGAATAGAGTTGAATGTAGTTGCACCTTGACAATGAACCTCCGAACACAAACTGTACGCTTCTGGCCAATCCGATGGATTCTCATGATTGCCTGTTCTTCAACTGCGGGATTCCACCATGGATCCTGCATATTTGTCCAATTAATTCATCAGAAATCCACTCATTATATTATAGATTTAGATGAAGATGTAGAGCAATAGGTGAATCACATACCACAAGAAAGACATTAGAAGCTGCTGTCAAGTTCAACCCCACTCCTCCAGCTTTCAGAGACATAAGCAAAACCTAGATAGATAGAACACAAGTTTAGCAGATGTGTTTCAAGTTGGGTCTGAATATGAAGAGGGACTAATAAAAGATTACTGTTTCTAGTATAGTTAAAGTTGAAACTAGCCAAGTTAACCCAAATATGAGGAGTATGTGTGAGAAGTAGATTTTGGGAAGATTGACAATCAGCCATTATCAACAGAGACCAAGCAAAAAACAAAAAATGAGTTTTAAGTTAGAATATTTTTTAAAAATAGAAATAAGTTAAAGTTCAGAGTAAAAAAAGCAGAAAGTTATGAACCCATTTTCTTAATGTATCATAGTTAAGCTGCTTACCATTTTCTCCTGAGTCTCACTGAACTCTTTCAAGACCTTTTCTCTTTGTTTCTGTGACAATCTCCCATCAAATCTTAGAAACCCAATCCCGCTTCTTTTGAGAGGGATCTCCAGAAGATCGAGAAATGCTGTCCATTGGCTAAAGACAATGCTTTTTTCACCAGAACCTGACCGGCGTAAACAATGTAAGCATTCCAATAGCTTTTTCACCTTTGAAGACTCCTTCCAGTTCTTCTCAACATCCACTCTGAACTTGCTTGCAGAGGGACAGGTGATGAGTTCATTTTTATTCAGCACCCTGCGACAGATTGGACACAACCCAGCAGCTGTGGTTCGCCAGCTTGATAACAGACATTCTCTGCACATTCTATGTGCACAAGGTGTGAGGACTGGGTCATCAGCAGACTCAAGGCAAATGGGGCATTCTGTGTTTTCACCATTACGGATATCACCAACAACTTCTTCAATGTAAGCTCGAGTAGGCACCTTCTGGGAGGCAGAATCAGGACTTGGTTCAAGGAACCTTTGTGCAAGTTTGTTCAGGTCTGCAAATTTGTCTGTGTCACCCCGACTGCATTTAGAGGTGAGAATGAGTTTAGTTAATGAGATAAAAACGTGTATGTTTCACCATAGACAAATGGGTCATATCCAGATGGTATCTCACCTCATTACAAGAAAAGGGTGGTTGCAACACTGCCTCAAACGAAGAAGCAACTCAAGAATGTTTGCAAAGTTGTGAAGAACCTTGCCTTGTGCTACAAATTGGTCAAACTGGACCTGCATAGTCCATGAAAAATTAAGTCAGCATTTGAAATTTGCATGACATAGAAAGGAAAGCATCACAGTTTTGCTCTTACTTTAGATTTCTTGAAGAGGGCGTCGTAGAAATCACGCTCTTCTACTGACTGTTCACACTCAATGATTTGAATATCAGTTGGAGGCAGAACAAGAATTGGCCTGATTCAAAAGAACAAGACATCATCAGCAAGCTGCCAGATATAACTTTGCAACCTTGGAAAATTGAACACTAATTAAAGACAAAAGAGAAGACAATGAACGACCTTCCTTCCTTGTCCTTTGTATCTTTTGTTCTCCTAAGCATTAGTGGCCTGAGAATGGCCTTGATCAGTTTCAGTGCTCTCTGATCACCATTCTCATAAGGTTTATGTATTAATTTATTCCACCTAAAGCATAGCAAACATGTGTAAGGAATCTAGCGCAAATTAATATCTATAAATTAAGACAAGACATGAAAAAATAAGACATACCATGCCCAATTACACCACGGCTCAACATGCAAGAAACACAGAAGACTGTAAAGGTCTTCTACATTATTCTGCAGTAAATATAAAGGAAAGAGTTAACATAAACCAAAACTTACTATAATAATCTACAGCTAAAAGTGCATATGTTGCATACGTGATTAAGGTACTTCATAAAGTAAATCTTATTTAGAAGTAAAGTAGCTATTATAACCTTACCTGAAGAGGGGTACCAGTAAGACACCACCTGCAATGCGCAGACAATGTGAATGCAGCCTTTGCTCCCATAGTTTTCCAAGACTTAATAGTGTGCGCTTCATCGAGAACAACCCGGTGCCAATCAACTTTATGAAATATGCTATTATCCATGTCCTAAATGAATGTATTCCACAATGAGGAGCATTAGAAAAATTACTAAAAAATTGCATATGAGCTGTTAGAGTCCCACATAAGAAATAAAAAGAAAATGGTGCTATAATCATATCTGGTGTTGAATTTGATTGTTTGGATTCAATCTTTTAATATTATCTGGCCTAAACAATTTGTGACCCAGTTGAGTGACCCATACCCACCACTGAATTCTTTAAAGAGCTAATGGAAAAGCATTGATAACTTACTCTTTTATATGCAGCAGTTAGGATTCCATAGGTTGTTAAGACCACATCTGGTTCTGCTATAGTTCTAGGGTCACTGCTTCGATCCCCACCATAATGAACAAAAACAGATATGCTATCTGGCTGTGAATGAGCTTCAAGTTCATCCTGTTAAAGGAAATTGTGATTGATATGTCACATTTTCCATGTTAGCATAAAGATACAACAAGCAAAACGTCTATACATCACTCCTCTTATACTTAACCAGCTTACGAACTCACCTTCCACTGACCAAGTAATGCCATAGGGCAAACAATGAGAGTGCCACCTTTAACTCTTCTGTTCTTGGCATGGCCATCCCTACTCTGTGAATATTCAGTGATAGCCATATCCTCAACAAGAAGCTCCGGATCATTAGGGATACCCTTGCCCAGTCTTGCAAGTATCAACCCAATTGTCATGACAGTTTTCCCAAGCCCCATTGCATCTGCTAAAATCTGAAAAACCATTTATTTATGGAGATTAATAGCTAACATAAGACTAGAATATTTAATATAGTAAACAAATTAAAATGAAACTATATAGTAATCAATATAGTAAACATAAATTATTTGTAATAAATATTGTTAATTAAATACTTTTAAACAAAAATATTGCTTTTCAATTTTAGGACATAAATGTAACCAAATATGTTACGAACTGTGTTGCTGAGGTTTAAGAAGTGTATAAAGATATAAATCTAAAAAAGAACAACTTTAAAATTTGTGCAGAACACAAAGAGATTCTCTCAAAAAAAAGAGATAAGAAAGAAACTAACTCCTCCTCTTGCTGTTTCAGATGCAGAAGGAAATTCTGTAGCTGCTTCACCAGAGAAAATGTTCACATAGATTGCAGGGCCTCTCCTGTCAAGAATACTGGTCAGCAAATTCAGAAATGAGGTATTTACCATTTTAGGTCACCAAAGTAGTCAGTGAATACTCATCACAAATTCTGTATGCTGCCCAACAAGGATGCAATGATTTGGCTGTTTGTTCTGCATCAGAACCCTTCTCCAATTCTGACATCCAGTAAAGGGCCTGCTTCTGATAGGGCCTCAAGCTACACATAAGGGTTTTAGGTGGTTCCATCTCCTACACAATAAAACACAAGTGAACAAGGAAATGTGAGAAGAAAGACAAATATAACCTCCACGTAAGTGTCAGTTCATGTCCATGGAATCATGGGCATTTTACCTTTAGGTCATACATCTCAGCAGCACCAACAAGTTTGTTTAGAGTAGATTCTGGAATAGACTGTTCATTCTGTCCATTCTCACGAGTCTGTGTACAACCCCTTATCCTTTTCGTCATAGGCATCATCTATACATATAGCAAATACAAATTCAGAAAAAGCTCATTAAACCTTAATCCCCCAAAACTGCCTACTAATCCTTTCAGAGGATGAATGAATGTAAAAATCCCATTAAAGAAGGCTAAAAATTGAGAAATAAATGGCTTACTTCTACGTTTAGGGAGCGTTTGCGAGAATCAATATCCTCCGGATTAAAATCAGCCTGTGGAGAGTGACAATATATAACATTAGTTACTACTGTACATACATGAATTTTTTAAAAAGGTGGTTTTTACTTTACTGCCTTCACTTATGCTGGTATGGTAATAAATAAATAACCTTCTGGAAAGGATTGATTTTTAATAGCTTGAACAGAGTTAGAAGTGGATATGTTGTGGTGTCAATCTCTGAAGGAGAGTCAAGCCTCCAAGTGGACTTATCACCGACAGTGAACACTGATCTGTTGATGTAGAAACTGCATAACAAGAACACCATACATTAAGAAACTTATACATTCATTTTGAATAACGAATAAAATCAAAATCTGACAACTTTTTACCTAACGTATAACACAATCTCTTGCATCAGTTGAAGATTAACAGGAGCAGCTACACATCTGCCACGAACCTTCACCTTTGTAGAATTCACTAGTGGAATTAAGCATTTTGCCCATTCCATTGGAAGTCGACCAATCTGGGGTAAAATAAATAGAGTAAATTAAATATAAAAAACTACAAATATATTAAATTAAATTTTATTCAATAAAACATTAATGAAAAGAGAGTGAAGGTTACCTCTCCAAAACGTTTGGTGGAGAACCTGACAATGGATGTGGAGCCTTTCGCATACTTGAATGAATCATGTCCTGGAAAGGAGAAGTGAACAATCTCATTATTCTCCAATTTCCTTCCTCTCGTAGTAGAAAGCCCCGTGATAATGTTTCTTCCGACCAACAACCAATCAGCCTCGTCAGGAAAATCCCCATCCTCAATCACAACGGTACTAAGGGCCATTTCCACTTTCTTCTCCGCCTTCCCATTCTGAGGCCTAGGCCGGATTCTCTCAAACGCAGGCTTTAAAGGAGGAGCCCTCACTGATAATGGCTCTACATAGAGAACCTCTTCCGCCTCTTCTTTCTTGGATGTCACCACCATAGCCTTGCTATCAGCTCCCATTTCCGATATACTCAGTTCTTCACTTTCAATTTTCACACCCTTCTGTTCGTGCATCTCCTCGGGCGAAACCTCAACCACTGGGAGAATGCTCTGGACGTCTAAATCTGGTTCTTTCTTCACTTCCTTGTTATCAGAACAGTCTAATCCTTTCAACTCTTCGTTTTTTTCTTCCAGCTTCATCGGCCCGGAAATCTGGGCGCCTGTGGCAGTTTCAGTCTTTATCACGTCCGACGGCAGAGGGTTGTCGAGGAGGTAGTTCACGGCTGCTTCGGCGTTGTTGTTGCAGCTAGAAAGAACTTTCAGGATGTGCGGTTCTGAAACCTCAGATCCAACGACTGAACGAATCATATCGATTTCCAGTTCATTAGCAACTGTTTTCACCTCCATAACGAAAGAAAAATAAGATTAAAAATCCTGGGAAATGGAACTTTGGAAAAAATCTACCAAGAAAACCTAGTACTGTGACTACTCTCGGAAATATTCTGTAAGGGCTATCGAGTATATACGTATTTAAGCAGGGGATGAGGGTGGAGAAGGTGGAGGGAGTTTATTGTTAGGTTTTACCGCGAAGCTAAATTGGCGCGAAATGAATTCTCCGTTAAAACTTCGAGGCTCTTTCTGGCGGTAAATTGAGATGAAATGTGGGAAAAGGGGTGTTTTCGCAGCGGACGATGTCGTTTTCGCTTGTTAGTCTTTTAACCCGCTAAAAAATTTGCCTCTAGTTGAAGCCTTACAGTTACTAATAATACGATTCTCAACTAAATTTGGCTTCAGTATCCCATCTCAAGCGTATCCTTCGGTATATTTACTTTAGTTGCATTTAATTAAGGGATAAATAATTTAAATACCCCAAACTTTGAAAAAGTGTGAGATAAGCACTTCAAATTTATCTATGTAATATATATACCCCTAACTTTACATAAAATGTTAAGTTAGCACCATTAATATGTATTTTTTATTCGAAAATGTAAACTTATGGTGTTAAGCACATGATTTAAAATTCTTAAACATTTATAGAGGTGTAGTTAAAGCGTCATTAATTTACACTGTGCAAGAAAAAAACATATGTTCATGGTACTAATATTACTTTTTATATAAAATTAGAGGTATAAATATTATCAAAGATTGGAGTGCTTACACCACACTTCTTCAAAGTTTAGAATATTTAAATTATTTTCCTCTTTATTTATTATGTATATATAGTTCTATCTATGGAAGTACTCTGTACTCACTCTTTTTAACAAAGCATTGTAACTTACAAAGCATCGTAACTTTTTTCTGGAAGTATATGGTTCTAGAAAAATATTTTTTTAAGAAAGCAATTTTATTGTTTATAACTTTACATTTTGACAATCAACCCGTTTGATAACCCTTATTATGTCCATTCATTGAATTTATTGATCATTTTTTTTATCAATATAGTATATTTCAAATATAAGTTTTTCACAATTCAAGAGGTTCAGTCATATCGTGTCGATTCATTTAATTTCGGTCTTACTAGGTGTTCATGATATTCTTTTTTAGATTTTTTGGCAAGTGTACCAATATGTTACAAATAAGGAGTATCGTTCATAAAAGCAACAACCAAATGATGTTTGGATAATTTGGTAAAAAGAAATTGACTTGAAGATGAATAAAAACGTTTGTGAATAGAAATTAGAATTATCACGTTTTTCCCATTAATAGAAGTAACTAGGGACAACTACCAAATAAGTCCTCGGACATTCATAAAAAGTGTAAATAAACCCTTTTACAAGAGGCTCTGTCCAGACTTCACCATTTGGGGCGGTTTCCGGTGGATTTTTTAATGAATTTTTTTGAGTATCTTTTTCATTAAGCCTAGTTTACTCTCGTACCAAAATTCAGCTAAAAATTCAATCAGGAAGATAGTCAAATGAATTTTTGAAGATAACTGCGCAGTTAGACAGTGCAGCATATTTCAGAAAATCATTTTGACAGTGCAGTAATTTTGAATAGCTTCGGCTCACCTCTGCTATTCAATTCTTCCGTCTGTGGACAGTTCGAAGTCGGGTCCTCCTCCGCACAGCCGCATCACTCTCTACCTAGACTCGGTAATTCGCCATCTTGTCTCTCTACTATGGCATCTCAGTTGACATTCTCCACCCCGAATGTCACGAATATTGTCACTACTCGGTTAGCTTGGGTTGAGGATTATTTACCATGGAAAACACAATTTGAATCTTTTTTGGTCTCTCATAGTTTGTTGGGTGTGTTGGATGGTACTATTCTCATTCCTTCTCCGTTTATTTTGGGTGCTTCTCGTAGGGAGATTGTTAACACGGATTATCAACATTGGTTGAAAATAGACCAAATTGTTCGTTCATGGCTATTTGCTACACTTTCTCGAGATATTTTGATTGACGTGCATGGACTTAAATTCTCTTATCAAATTTGGGATCGCCTTAGAAATAAGTTTATGTGTGCAAGTATTGCACGGTCTATGGAAATCAAACGCCAACTTTCTACAATAAAGAAAAAGGACGGCCAAACCATGGACCAATATCTTCATGAAATTAACGTTGCAGCGGACTCCTCGACACTAATCAATTCTCCGGTTAGTGACAAGGATCTCATAGAGTATGCTCTTTTTTGTCTTGGTCCGGAATTTGAATCCATGCTCGACGGGTTGGCATATATTCCTCCTACGTTTACATATGATCATTTGGGGCCCATTCTAGTTCTCCAGGAGCATATGTTGCAGTATATGCATGGGATGGATGCCTCCTCATCGCAGCACCAGGCCTTCGTTGCTATTGGGCAGTCCTCTTCGATTTCACAAACTCGCCTGCAGCAGCAATTCAATGGCCGAGGGGGTGCACCATCCAGGGGAAGTCACGGTGCTGGTCGCGGTCAGCGCTCACAGCGGGGTCACCGGGGCCGTGACAGAGGGTATGGCTACCCCGATACCCCTGGGCAGCAGCCCTATCCACGCGGCTATGATTACCGATATGCGGGACATCATGCATCTTTCACTCCGGGAGTACCCGATGCAGGCATGGGTAATATTCCTCGGGTAAATTCTTGTGTGTCTCCATACTATACTCGTATTCATACTAAACGTGCAGGTTTCCTATCAGTTGATCATACTTATGCCTCCCCCAGCCCGCTGTTGTTTGTCAATTAGGTTTCACACCGGGTCACTCTGCCATAACCTGTTCCAATTTCACCTCTGGATCTACTCCCTTAGCTGCTTTACCAACCGGTGAGACCAATGAAGCCACATGGTACCCAGATTTTGGTGCATCCGCTCATATGACGCCAAATGAAGGTATTTTACGTAATAGATCCACTATTACTAACTCCACTAATGTGCAGGTAGCTAATGATACTAATTTATCTGTGTCTACGATCGGCAATGTTCATTTACCTTCACTTGGCCGCCCACTTTGTTTAAAACCAGTATATCATGTTCCTCACCTAAAATTTAATTTACTATCTATTCAAAAGTTGTGCGACGACAGTGATTGCACTACTATTTTTAACAAATCTTCTTTTTTGTCAAGGACAATCAAATGTGGGCAACTCTACTCCACGCTTCCAGTAAGGATAGGACTTATCCCTTCACGGTCTCATCTTCACCTCTAACCCTTTTTACTTCCTCTGCACCTGGTCCAGTATGGCACAAACGCTTAGGTCACTGTGGTGATAGCATATTGTCTACTCATCGGCGCACTCATTCTATATTTTCCTCTAGTAATTTTCATCATTTATGTACTTCTTGTTGACTGGGCAAATCTCATCGTTTACCTTTTCAAGACGTTTTACATACTGTTACTGCTTCATTACAATTAATTCATTCTGATGTTTGACAATCCCATGTTTTATCTCATCTTGGTTATAAATATTATGTTTGTTTTATTGATGTTTTTCTAGGACTACTTGGGTTTATCCCGTGCATAGGAAATCCGAGGTTTTTTACTCATTTTTGTAATTTTCAGATTTTAACAGAAAATCTTTTAGGTTGTAAAATTAAATATTTTCATAGTGATGGTGGAGGTGAATTAATAACCATCAATTCATTAATCATTTTCTTAATTGTGGTATTTTATTTCAAAAATCTTGTCCCGACACTCCTGCTCAGAATGGCGAGGCTGAACGTAAACACTGTCATCTTTTACGATTAATACGCACTATGCTTATTAATGCAGACCTTCCTCCCTCTTTTTGGGTTGATGCACATTACACTGCCACGTACATTATTAACCGTCTTCTCACGCCTATTCTATATGGTCTCAGTCCGTACCATAAAATTTTTCAAAAATCTCTTGACTACTCTTTTTAACATGTGTTTGGTTGTGCTTGTTTTCCCAACAGAGATGCTACTTCAGGCAATAAGCCATCACCGCGATCTACTCCTTGTGTTTTCATTGGCTATGCACCGGGTTATAAAGGATACCGTTGTCTTGACCCTACCACTGGTCGCGTTTACATTAGTCGCGATGTTGTTTTCCATGAGACTACTTTTCCCTATCCTACCCTCTCTTCCAGTCACTCCACACCCCAAAATTCTTCAAGTCAACCACTTTACTCACTCCCCTCTTTTCCCACAAATGTCGCCCATCCTACCCCCACTACTTCCAGGCCACCTATCTTTCAAGTGCCACACTTGTCACCTATTTCTCTTCCAACCGCATAGTCCAGTACTCCTCTCAACCCAACATCATCGCCATCAATCTAGCCCACTACATCACCATCAATCCAGCCCACTGCCTCGACACCTGACCTTCCCTCAAGCCCAGTACATGGACCAAGCCCACACGCTACTTCTCCCACCTCCAGCTCTTTGTCAAGCCCTTCATCAAGCCCACCTCCTATCTCCTCATATAGTCCAACACACAGACCTCCACCGGTCCAGAATGTCCATCCCATGAGAACCCGAGCCAAAGATGGCATCTACAAACATAAAACCATTTTATATCTCACCTCTGTGGAGTATCCCCCGATCCTACTTGTTTTTCTCAAGCAAATAAAAGTTTAAAATAACGGGCGGTTATGGCGGAAGGGTTCAATGTTCTTATTGCTCATAAGACTTGGGATTTAGTACCTAGTGATAACATAAAACAATGTGGTTGGATGTAAATGGATTTATAAAACAAAATACACTTCTGATGGGTCTATAGAGCGTCATAAAGCTCGCTTAGTGGCTCGAGGTTTTAATCAGCAAGCAGGGGTAGATTTTTTTTTTGAAACTTTTAGTCTTGTTGTCAAACCCACTGCTGAGCGTCTATTACTTTCACCTGCGACTTCTTTGGATAGGGGGTGCGTCAGTTAGATGTCAAGAATGCCTTCTTGCATGGTTATTTAACAGAGGAGGTTTATATGCGTCACCCACCAAGATTTGTTCATCCATCCTTTCCTCATCACATTCATCGTCTTCGTAAGGCGTTGTATGGTCTCAACCAAGCCCCTCGTGCATGGTTTCATCGTTTTAGTGGGTTTCTTCTTAGCCATGGGTTCTCACAGAGTCGGTCTGATTCCTCTATGTTTATTTGCCGTCGTGGTTCTCATTGTATATATATTCTTTTGTATGTTGATGACATTCTCATTAGAGACAACTCTCCTTCCCTAGTACAGTCTATTACTCATTTACTTTCTCAGACTTTCGCCATGAAAGATCTGGGAGATATTCTTTTTTTCTAGGGATTCAGACTGTGCGCACTTCTACTGGTATTTTTCGCTCACAAGAAAAGTATATTTATGATCTCTTGCGGCGATTTCATCTTCATACAGTTACACCAGTCCGCACACCCCTTACCACTCGTACAACTTTATCTTCAACTGATGGGGAATTACTCGATGATGGTACTGAATATCGCAGTATGGTTGGTGCTTTACAGTACCTGCTTATTACTAGACCGGATATTACATATGATGTTCACTGGGTCTCTCAGTTTAATTTATGCATGCTCCTCGCACTACTCATCTTTTTGCTGTGAAGCGTATTTACACGTATTTGCAGGGCACTATTACTGAGGGCTTATGTTTACGCAAGGGTGGTGATCCCTCTCTTGTTGTTGCTTACTCTGATGCAAACTGGGCTGGTTGTCCTGATAGTTGTCCTTCCACCACTGGGTATGCTATATTCTTGGGTAACAATTTAATGTCTTGACGGTCCAAAAAGCAACCATCTGTTTCAAAATCCTCCACCGAGGCAGAATATAGAGTTGTGGCTTATACTGCTCAGGACACCTTGTTTATTCGTTCATTGCTTGCGGGCATGGGCTTCTTCATTTCCAAACCTGTCCAGCTCTATCGTGACAGTGTTTCAGCATCATACCTTGCGGTTAATCCTATTCAGCATGATCGGAGCAAGCACATAAAGATTGACTACCACTTTCTTCGTGAGCGTGTGGCTCACGGTGATTTAGCTGTTAAATATATCCCTACTCGATTTCAGTTAGCAGATATCTTTACTAAAAATTTGTCTAGCCAGCGTTTTAATTTTCTTAAGTCCAATCTGCGCGCTGTTCCCGCTGCACAGATTGAGGGAGTGTAATAGATAATAATGTAGGGATACTCTGGTAATCACTTATTCTTGGATTATTATATATACATGTATACGGCTACCTCTAGGGTAAGCCATTCCCTCATAATTCTCATACCAAACACCCCCTAGGGTAAGGAACTTTGGATCAACCGTGCTTTTGAATAAACATGGTGTATGTTTTGCATTTGTTTAAAACTTGAATACGACATACCATTAAGGGAGTCTTTCTAATTGTTTCTCCTTCAAAAAAGTGATTTTTAAAATGATTTTGATGAAAATACTTAATAGTAAAAACTGGTATTGTTTGAAAAAAAGTATTTCTGAAAAAGTAAAAGTTGATAGTGTTTGGTAAAGTAAGTATTTTTGGTATTGTTTGAAAAAAAGTGATTCTGAAAAAGTAAAATTTGTTAGTGTTTGGTAAAGTAAGGTTTTTGGTATAATATAAAAAGTGAAAAGCAGTTAAAATCACTGTTCCACCCACTTCTAGCTTTTTGCTTTTAAGTGCTTAATTTAAGCATAATTTGTCATTTGAAAACACTCTTTTTCAGTTTTTTAAAGTCAAAAATGAAAAGCACTTTTTTAGTTTCAGCAAACACTCCCTTGATCAGCATATGGTTTAGCAATCAAGAACACTTGGTACAGTGTAAAATAGTTCACGTATTAACTACTTTGTATTAACACATTGTGTAACATCCTAAATTTTGACATTTTAAAATAATAAACAGCTATTATATAAAAACTGTGTTTCGAATCATAGGTGTTATTATTTTTGGCAGATAACCTGATTATTTTGAAGGTACTAACATAAAGGTTTGTGATGAGCCAATTAATATTATTATACAAACTTAGATTAAACTAAATTAAAGGAAATCAATGAAATGCAATGACATCTAGGTGAGTGATGTAGTAGCTAACACCTATATATCTTTTTAATCGGAGGTCTAACTATAATAACATTAATAATAATAATAATAATAATAATAATAATATAAAAATTAAAAAAACAGGTGGCGGCTGAGAACAAATATGCATACAAGTAATGTAAATGTTTAAAGAAGTCATATGTGGCTGTATTTTAGGGTACAAAGGTAAAGACTATATACTTGGCAAATTCATGCAATAATAAAACAAAATAATATTCACAAATACACGTGTATGTATAACCATGCATACTCTAATGGACACTAAGCCATGAATTCCCTAATCAAACAAAAATAATGGGGACAATTTTGAGGAGCATAGGACACTCGTACATGGTATATTAGAAAAAAACCAAAACTATGAAATGTATGTATTCATATATATATATATATATATATATATGTATGTATATATATATATATGTATGTATGTATATCTTTATATATATGTATATGTATATATATATATATATATATATATATATATATATATACATACCGATATACGATAATAATAGTATACCGATACCGATATACGATAATATATATATGTATATATCTTTATATATATGTATATGTATATGTATATATATATATATATATATATATATATATATATATATATATATACATACATACCGATATACGATAATAATATTAACAACTTCAAGAGGAGTGAGTATCAAATTTATAATATGAACAAATATATAACTAAAAGAAAAGAGTGTAGAGACTATAAGGGAGCGAACCAAAAAGAGAGAAAAGGGGGAGGGAGCCCTGAGGAAAATAAAAATAAAAATGAAGAGATGAAGGGAAGACAAGATAGATAGGGGAAAAGCTAAATGACAAGAGAAAAAGAAAATCTTGTCAAAATTAAGGTTTGTGTTCATTCCTTCTTCAATACTAAATTTATGTTAAATTACATTGTTATTGTTCTAAATTTTATTGTTATATCTGTTTCTGAATTTTACTATTTAACTAAACTCTATAGTTTACACCGTAGTTGGGAGTGATGGTATAAATTGATACAATTAAAATATGATTGTGTTGATTTAATTAAAATATATGTGACACTGTTTAAGGCAACAAGAGGCGGCACATTTACTTAGACTTTCCAGAAATTAAATATTAGTAGCACATATTATGTACCTATTTTTTGAATTAATCTTTTAGTTTACAAATCAATGGTTCAAATACGAAAATATGATATGGGATTGTAGTATTATTAAGGTTATTATTATTTGAAACTAGGTCTGGTATATATAGAGTAACATGTGTACGAAAATGGGTTATAATGATTAATGAAGTTAATTTTAAATATATTGCAAATATATGTTCACGACATTATAAGTCAAACAAGCAACCATAAAC